GGGGGTTACGACATACGGACACAGAGCACATCTGATCCAGCAACTCTCAGGTCAACCGAGTCATCTTCCGTCCAGCTTTAATCAAGAAAAAGTCATTTTGTAGTTTGGTGGTGAGAAAAAAAAAAGTCTTTGGAATGAGAGGGGTTCTGCCTGACAGTTCTGCCTGCATGCAAACAACACGGAAAGCTCGTACAAAGTGTCACTTGACTCCGTAAGACGCGTATAATAATTGATGGTACCACTTCGCTATGCCTTCTCAGCCTCAGCATCAATGCTCCTTATTAATGGAACAGGAAACAGTCTCCTCTGTATTGTCTGTATCCACTAAGTCCTCAGTCTGGGCCCAGGTACTCTGCGTTTTCAGCCGCTGGGATGTGTCCGTTGGCGTGGGTCTTGAAGGTGGGAGTGAAATCCTGTTGGTAATCAGGGTTGTCTATGCTATTCTGGGGATGGTATTTCTGAACGCTGTGGACCGTGCCGTTGGAGGTGAGCGGGAGGACGGCGGGGGACGTGATCTCGTTGAGGTACTCGGGTTCGATGCCCTCGTTTTTAAAGCAGTTCAGGTACTCGGTCTCCGTGTCGTCTGAAGAGATGGTGGGAAGGACGGTGCGAAGTGGACCCGGGTGCTGGTAGATGGGATTCATCACGTCTGAAACTCCGTTCTGGTTCATGTAGTCTGTAAGAAAGACACTGACATTAGCAAGGGCACTGGATAGTTTCTCATTAAGTGTACACACAGCTTAAATAGAAACTAGCAGGTAATTTATAAAAACCGAACAGAATATAATGGTGGCATGTTTCAGCCCATTAACTGCAAACCATTACATCCCTGCGCTGCTGATCATTTTCAGTTTGCAAATTGACTCCTAACCTTCCGGGCAGCCACGATTTAGAGTTAAAGGGCCAGTTTGCTATTTTTCCACATAAAGGTCAGTTTATTAAGTGTACTACTCAGTCTCTCATAACAATAAACAATATATTCTGTGTTACAAACTCTGGGCATTGAGTTTGAAAGAAGTAGATGTTTAGAAAGTGTTATCGAGACACATTATGGGAAATGTAGAATCCAGTGTTTTTAGATCTTCGTCCTTACTAAGGCCTAAAATTCAGGATATCCTGGCCTCTTGGCTGCATCGATTTTGACCAATCTTCCATAACTTGATGAAAGGGCAACACCAAAACAGTAGTGCACCAATTTAATGGTAGCAGGCAGTGAAAATCAACATACAGACTTTAAAAACTTGCTTTAGACAACCAGCCAATTAAGTGCCTTTCATTTGATTTACTTTTTAAATCAAAGTTACATCAACATCAAGTGGCAATACAGTTGTGAGGAGCATCTGTTCTGAAAAATCTTCCTCAATGGTGGACTCAAGGATGTTATTTCCAGTCAAAAAGCTATGTATCTATGGGATACATTTTCCAAAGGATTAAAATCAAACAATAAGTAAATCCTGTTGCTGTGAAAAGGACAATGAGAATCTAGAAGTTTCTTAAGGTGGTACTGATGGTAATACATGTTTGATGTATTATACAGCCTAATGATGCCACTCCCCCCCCCACTGCAGGACCCCAAGACTAAAGATGTATGCACTAATGGTACCATAAAACCACTGGAACAAAGACTACACCAAATAGTAAACAGCATTATGTTCTTCAGCTGTGGCAATAAGTACAGCAATATGCTCCTTGTGCACTAGATGTCCCTCTTCCTCTTCTTGTTCAGGGACAAGGGGAGAGCTCCACTGAGATTCACTTGAATAACATGAAAAAGTGGTGCCACTGAGGGGTTTGAAGTTGCAGGATACTTGCCTGGAGATGGCAGGAAGGCCTCGTCTAAAAGTTTGTCTGTGGGGTCAGGAATGTATCGGAGCACCACGCTTCCATCTCTGCTCGGGAATGCATTCTGCAACAGAGTACAGAGGTTGTTTTTGTAGAACTGTAATCATCTGTTAAATGATTTGAACATAATACAAATCATTTAACAGAAAGATAGAAGTAATTTTCTTTAAAGGACTGATGTTCACTTACGAATAATCCATTTCTGCTGTGGCACGTTCCAATGCTGCTGTTCAGACTCTGCAAAATAGATCATATAAACAAGAGTTAATGTCTGAATGCAGAGCAGGAAATTGTGTTTTATAGATCTATAACACATTTTGATATTCCTCAGTTATCCATAAAGCAGACATTAAGGGAAGAAAGGTTTAAAATGTAACCAAACAGGTAGTTTCAGTGCAATGCACAACACAAGCGGTCCACAATTTATTTAGGCAAATACTATACTTTTGCTATCTTTTTCTTTCACAGTATGTGATTCTTACTTCCTTCTTTTATTCATAGCTTCTTTAAAGTGTGTTTCCTTCAGTCACTATGTTTTATTTCAACGCTTCTCAGTGGATAATAAGTTCCCTTTGAATAGTGATAGTAATGTGTGTTTATGGTACCCGAGGAACCAGAGCTGTCATCTCAGCACAAGCCGATGAGGATCGAAATAAACGAGTAGATTCATATTCATTCAGGCAATCTGACAAGCTTTGTCGTGTCTGTCAAAGTCTCGAGTCAAAGGACTGTGAACGGTGTTAAAACCATGGAAACCGAGCAAATAAAGAGAACAGAGTGACAGCTGTGGCAACGCAATTACTTTCAACAAGAAAAAGAAATTAAACACGCTGAAGGAGCGACCATCTGTAAATAAATTATTCTGGACCCATAGTGGGCCATGCCCCAACAGTGATATTAAAAACGCAGGCTTATGCTGAGCTTTTATTGGACAAAGATTTTAAAGAGTTGCCTGCAAAGGTAATTACACTTCGAAGCTTGTATGGGCTAACCAGGCTGTCAGTGGCCGGCAATGTTCCCAGATACAAGAGCCAGGCCTACGCATGGCCTTCACTGAACCTGGAGGAGAAGAGTTCTCCTTGTTCAGTTCTCATCAATCAAAGGGCACCTGGGAGGAAACGTGGGAGAGGGGATGATGATGAGGACGAGTGTGTAGGGGTCAGGAAGTGGAGGAATAGTCCCACTGGTGACACTTAAAGAGAATGAGGGCAGCTGGGTTCAGCAGGGTTCAGGCCAGGTACGACTGGCCGCTCACATTCGAGTCGGATCTATTAGTTTAACTCTCCTCGCTGATCGATCATCTGGATTCAGTTTAACCGTCAGCGTTCTGCTTCTGCTGCTTCATGCGAAAGATAATTGCATTCGTTTATTTCCATTCTGACGCACAGGGTAATGATTTATGCAGAAATCCCATTTCCCAAAACACAGTTAAAATAGCACAATTACATTTTCAAACAGTTGACTGCATGTTGGTAAAGTGTGCACCGCTGGTGCAAGTTCTTAATCAATTAATGATGCTGTTTCTGGGAAATTGCTCGCTTCCTCCAAAGCAGCTGGTATTCCTCTTTCACTGTTTGGATAGAGAAGGTAAATGTGAGTGAGTCTGCCTTCTTTAGTAAAAAGGTATCCGTGTCTCATTCTCTCTCTCTCTCTCTCAACTTGTTTGTGTAGTTGAATGTTTCCTGTAAGTGGACAGTCATACAAAATATCCTGTGAGGTACTGTAGGATGTCTTCTCAGTAAAACTACACCACCTTCAAATCTCTAAAACAGTGAGTGACTCAGAGGTCAGTTGGGTTAATAAATGATTTTGGTCAGTACATGATTGTTTGCCGACACTTATTTCATGACCAAAGGAAAAAACAAACAAAAAAAAAAAAAAACTTCTTGCCTTGAACATTCATCAAAAATGGGCCAGTGGTTTGGCAGTGCTGGTTTTCTATTTTTGAAATGTCTGACCACAAAATGGATATAATTCTCCCTTCACACTTGATCCAACACCTTTGATGTGTGTGTGTGTTTTTTCTATGAAGTAGCTTACTGTGGAGTGAAGCAGCGGGGTAGTGGACTTGCTCCGGCTGTTGAAGAAGCCATGTTGTGGCACCAGGTACTCGTCCGCATCCACAGGGTCCTCCATGCCCTCCCCACTGATCAGGCTGCGGTACATTCTAGTGTCTGTGGGACTCGGCAGGTGCATGCGATCATCGCCCTGGAATAGAAATAAAATGTACCTCGTCATCTCGGTGTGTCTAATAGGTTACTACATTTACATTATCAAATAAACTGAAGTTTCAAGAGTGTCAGATTTGAGGTAAAATCACACCTGGATGACCAGATATCGAGGAGGATCCCGAGCCATTTTTGAGAACTCGGCTATTAGTTCCCGAAAACGCGGTCGGCTATCTGCGTCAATCATCCAACCTGTACAGACATATCAGCAGATATCATCATGAGACAAGAAGATGACATGAGACTTTTAACGTCTGTGGGGAAATTATCGGCAGCGTATTTTAAAGGAAATGATCGTATGAATACACTTCGAAAAAGCAGAAGCTTTCAACCGCGGCCCACTGAGCTTACATTTCACCATGATCATGTAGACATCTATGGTACAGATTGGCGGTTGAGGCAGTCTCTCCCCTTTCTCCAGGACCCCGGCTATTTCACTGGCTGGAATCCCGTCATACGGTTTGGTCCCAAATGTCATCAGCTCCCAAACGGTTACGCCTACAGAAAGGAAGACAGTTGGTACGTGTCAGTCTGCTGAGCTGTCATTCACTTTGCTTTGCTCCCAATAAAAGAGAGGAAATGAGAGTGACAGGAAGTAAGCTTCCCGAATATCACACAGTATCAAAATAGCTATGTTGACAAATTGGCTCTGCCTGTAGGAGTGGGAGTTGGCAGGATGCGTCTCTCTGCTGGAAGAGCTGAAGTAACTTCTGCCAGGGTCTGCTGATGCTTATGCCATATTGAGCGGAAGGCAAGATCAAAACCCTTGGGAAAAGAACATTTGGAGCTGGCCCACACAATAAAGTTGTGCTGAGTGTGAATGCATCTGTGTATATCTGTGCTCCTGGTCTACGCGACGTGCGCTCCTGGTCTACGCGACGTGCGCTCCTGGTCTTCGTGTGCTCCTGGCTCCTGCTGTGGCAGCAACCTCTTCTGACGTGATATTGTCCCTCTGAGACCGCTGGTGTTTTGTGAGGTCACAGTGACCTTTGACCACCAAATTCTGCTGAGTTCATCCTTGAGTCCAAGTTGGTGTTTGTGCCAAAGGACAGATGGACGGACGGACAACCCGAAAACATAACGCCTTGGTCCACGGCTGTCGCTGGCGCAGAGGCATAAAATACAAAAATGCCTTTCCTCTCTTTGCCTCACTTGCTGTTACAACACTTTATTTGGCAATGAATGCACATTTCTCCACTGAGACTGTCACCAAAACTCCTCGGGAATACAGAAACAGCTGTTTTATATATATCTGAAGCTGCACAAGGATTTAGCTCAGTCTGCCTCGCAGGCAGGGCTCATGCCTCACTGGGTTAGAGGTCCAGCAACATGAAGCACTACACTTACCATAGCTCCATACGTCACTCTGGTGTGTGTATGTTCTGTTCAGGATTGATTCAAGAGCCATCCATTTAATTGGTACCTGCGGGAAAAAAAAAGTAGAAATGTAATAATCTCCAAATATTGCGGCCTCAACTGTACACTTGCCAGTGGACTCAACAGCAATGTCTATCATTTTTGTATCTTGATATCGGCTCATCAAATTTGTCTTCTTTATTCAAATTACTGTATTACTTTGGTAAATTGAAATCCATTTCTGTTTTTCCCATATATAGTATGTCATGTAACTGTACTGTCACCTAGTGGTGCAGAATTGCAATAGTCACACATATAAAATCAAACACAGTTTGCGTCACAAAAAGCTTAAAAAATGATTTCTGTGATGGTTTCCTCCAGATGGAAGTCTCATACTAAATGGATGTCTCTACCCTGTCTGGAAAACTGTCCTGTCATTTTCAATCAATAACTAGTTTGATGCAATTCAGAATTGCATCAAACTAAAACAAATAAAGGAAGAGTCAGCAGTAGCAAGTGTCTATGTTTGAGGTCCAGTCCAGCTTTGTCTGGATGAATTTCAAAGAACTGCACATCTGACCGTCTGGTGAGAACGGGCAGATGTCAGGGGAAAAAATAAACCACTGATGTAATAAAGTTACAACATTATAAGGTAATAGAGCAATAAAGAGGAGTTCTACAGTATTATTGGATTTTAGACCAAGTTAAGCAAAATAATGCACATTTGGGGTAATTATCATATTATGGGAAAAATATTACATCATCGGGTACTACGGAAATAAGTGGATAGGTCACACTGTAATTACAAGTAAATACAAGTGCTACACATTTTTCTGTGAGGGAAAACAGTGCTTTCAGTTTCTCAAAGAAAACACTGATAAGAGAAGGAACTTATCTGATTTGTTATTTCTCTTCTTTCTGACAGAACTATTAATACTCACTTACATAAGATACAATCTAGAGCAAAACTAGAAATGCAAAAATAACATCTCTCATTCATCTACAGGAAGTCATTCGTCTAACAAAGATCACATTTGTAACAGGCTATATGCATAAATATGGTTGCGTCAACCAACCTTTCCGCCATCTGCATGGTACTCTTTCTCATCCGCGTTGAGGAGTTTGGCCAGACCGAAGTCGGTGATCTTGACATGTTGAGGAGTCTTCACCAGGATGTTTCTCGCTGCCAAGTCACGGTGCACCAAGTGGCGCTCCTCCAGGTAGTTCATACCCTTTTGTCAAACAAACAATGAAGTTGTTACATAACCACAGTGTCCTTGGAAACACTGCTTGATCAGACATGATCAAAGTTGTTAAAGTGCTTTCAAAATAGACTTGTCATCATCATATAATAAGTCATGTCATTCAACAGTTAAAGGCAGGATGTACTGTGCTTTATAGCAGTTGCAAATCAAAAGAACTTGACTTGCTCTGCAGAAATACTCAGTGACTTTTGGATTTATCATTATGTCGAATAGACCATAACATGTAACTTAATGTCTTCACAGGGTTTCTCTCTTACCTTGGCTATCTGCACACACCAGTTGAGCAGGTACTGGGAGCCGATGTTGTCCTTGTTCTCTTTGACATAGTCCAGCAGGCAGCCGTAGGGCATGAGCTGGGTGACGAGCTGCACAGTGGACGTCAGGCAGATGCCAAGCAGACGACACACGTGGGGGTGTTCAACGCTGGCCATCACATAGGCCTCCTGCAGGGTTAGGGTGAGACACGCGAAAAAGAGTTTTAACATTCAATGTTTTCTATTAATTGGAGCAGTCAGGTGACACAAACGACACCCCGTATCTAGTGCATGGACAAAAGGAGACAATTGGCATTCACATTGATGGATTGAAGGTGCAAAAAATGAAATTGTCTGTTTGAGAAAAGCGTCTTACAGCCCATTCCGTCTTCCACTGAAGCAATATTGGAAGAAAGTTTACATTTATTCTGGAAACTGATAGCTTAAGAAACATGACATTTGTGGAAATATCTGGTGTTTGGTGATAAGTTTCTTAGCAGCAGTCATGCCCAGCCAAGCATATTTTATGTGGATCAGCTGAGTGGAAACTCAGTCGTCATAACAGAAAAACGAATTAAAGAAAAAAACAAAAACTTGAGGATAATCTGCACTGGCCACCACCAAGGAGCTCTGTGCAAACAGCACTTCAAACTGAGCTTTATTTAGTAGATTTCCTGTCGTGAGTACATTAATTGTACCCCAAATATTTTCGACATGACCAATAAAGTATCATAATTGTTCAGTAAAGAACCACTTGATTGTTAGGAGCTCTGTAATTTTGACAGTCTGATGAGGAAGAGGCTTTAAAACGCACATTTAAAAACAAGCCTCTGCCCTTAAGACATGAAGTTCAGAGGATGTGTACGTCCACCACAAGCTCCAGATGTGCAGTGACTGAGCAACGCACCCACAAAATCACAGGATCTAAGATGCACATTCAGCCGTTTGCGTAATGCATTTTGAGTAAGCTGCTTTCTCAGTGCGGCTACAGGACTGCATTCCTGTCCAGAACACCTCAGCCTTGGATTAAAAACCAACACCCACACACAGCCCTCCGTTTCCTACAGCCCCGTAAGAGCATCACCGTGTAGAAGAAACATGACCCATTCCCTTTTACAAGGAAATTAAGTAGTCGTTAGTTTCAAATAACGTAGCATGTGCTATAAATCACAGGATGCATTACAGTTGAATTGACACATGGGAAGCTTTCATTCAATTTGTGCAACACATTGAGGTTGACTTTTAATCCAGTCGAAATATTGTAATAATATCCATAGAGGTTTGAGCTTTTATATGTGATTTCCCAGCAGCAGCACACACTTTGCTGAAGTCGTCTGGGGAACAACGTTTTAAATGAATGGCTTTTCCTAGTTCTGAATCAGAATTACAGTTAAGCTTCAAAAAGGTACATGAATCATTAAACCTACGTCCAAGATGTCTTTGTTTGCTTTCGGTGATGTGGCCTCTCTCAAAACCTTGATGGCCACCGGGATCTTCACATCCTCTCCCTCTGGAACCCACAGGCCCTGTACGGACACAATTTTGTCATTTGACATGCTTTAATTACACCGGAATCATCAAGTGAGCGCAAGTACATACATGCAATGTACAGTACAATTACAAAATGCTGACGTGTATGTATTTCAACACTTTGTACTATATTTGGGAGGACTCTTGCCCCGCCCCCCTCAAACCCAGTGGTGGAAAATATTTAAAGTACATTTACCCAAGTACTGGGCCTAAGTACAATTTTGAGGCACTTGTACTTCCATTTAGGCTACTTTCATACTACACTGCAGAAGATAACATCATACCTTTCACTACACTTCATGTATTCAATTGCTGTGTTTACATACAAAACATATGACCAGTTAAAATATATGTAACATGTTACTTGTAATCAAGCACTTTTGTAATGCCAACTATAGATGCCAATACTTCTTACAGCACTGAATTAACCTAACCCCAACCCTGACCATGACTTTTGTGTTTTCAACCATAGTCCTAAAACCAAGCCTTAACCCTCAAATAGCCCTTTGAAAGAATGTCCTTACTTTCTAAAAATGTCCTAACTCTCAAGGTCTGACACTTAAATTGGTCCTCACAAAGATATCAATTCAAAAGCACACATGCACACTGGTTTTTGTTCTAAGTGAGACAATGGCATTGACTTACATTCTCTCTCTGGAGATAACGTTAGCCTAAAAGCAACCCTAAAATAAAGGCCTAACTTTGTAGAGATCAGCCTTTTGTCTCCTTATGAGCAAAAGTCCCCACAGTATACTGTTAAACACGTATCCCCACAGTGAGATTAATACGACTATATATGTAGATACACACATACACACAGCACTGAAAGTGGAGTCACTCTTCACTCATGCATGATCTGGCAAGTTAAAAATGTGTCTTTTAATTGAAAAATTGACAACAGATGAAAACACTGGTTATGTAAACTTGGCACGTGGAGTACTCCTGAGCTCCAGCTTCAATAAAGTTCAGCGCTGGAGCGGAATTTTGAGACACAAACCTGAAGCATGTTATTACCTTGTAAACTGTCCCAAAAGCTCCTGATCCCAGCACTTTGATTTTCTTAAATTCGGGTTCCTTCAGAATCCGCAGCAGAGCCTGGTTTGGTGCCTCTCCACTTGGAGTCAGAGGTTCAACCAACTGTAAAAGAAAAAGTGAATATCTTACATACTGTCGTGCAAAGAGCTCTGTTGATTCATTCAAAAATGCACTGTAGGTGCAATATTCTAAAGAAATCATACAAAAAAAGTTAAATACTGTTAACATAATATGAAATTGATGCCGTGTACTGTCTCTGCATAAAGCAGGCTTGTATCTCTGTAAATGATCATCAGCAGACTAACATCTGGACGTCTCCCGACTCAGTCCCCTCATCTTACCTCTTTCTCTTGGAGAAGTCTGCGCATGGTTCTCTTCCTCTTGATGTGGCGTCGGCGGAGCAACACAAACACAGACAGGCCTGCAATAAGAACGGCCAGCAGCCCACCAACTACACCGGCCGAAATCATGGAAAGGCCAGAGCGGCTGAAAGACAGGTGGGAGCAAATTTAGGAACGCAGATAGAAAACAGAGCACATTCACGAATTCAATAAACAAGGAGAGATGAGATTAAAATGTCCAACTTAGGCAAAGTCAGCATGCCAGTGTATAATTAAGCATCAGTGATGAGTGTTACTGTATTTACTCACCCTTCACCTCTCTGGCAGCCTTTGAGACCAGGTCCCCTGCACCTGTAAAGAAGTAAACGCAAAGAATATGATGTAACCGTACCATCATTTTTTGATTTCACACTGCACCAATCACAAGTCAAGTTTCTCTATGAAGCTAAAACAAGCAATCAGGAACAAAGGCGTTGCAATCAGTGTTCATCAGAAAATCTGTAACTGTTGCCACACTTCTATGTTTCCTATTTCATTTCAACACGCGAGTGCAAAAACAATGAGAAGATAACTCCTTCCAGCAAAAGCATCCAAGTTTTCTGCAAAAGTCTACAAGAGTAAATACTTTGAATGCATCGATCACTGGGGGGCCACTGGGGTCTGTTTCGTTCTATGTAGTCCAATGAAACATACGAGTTGTGGACATACTTCGTCATATTTTATTTCATAAAAGTTGTACGATACGGCTACAAAAGCCCATCCACCAAGGACCGATGAAAGGACGATCTGGTATCCCTGAACCACAGTAACCACCAGGATACCAACCAGCCGTCACCACAGCGGTTGATAGTCCATCAATGTGAACATTAACTCTTTAACTCATTAACTCAGTTCATTTCTGTCAGTTATTTGTTTTGTGCAGACCTCTATCCGTTGAATACTGAAATGAAACCAATAGTAAACAGTTATATAATTAACTTTATTTATCATTAAAATAAAATCTCTTGTATATTCTTTTAATCTTATACTCCCAGATTCTTCCTATATTTTCGTATTTTATCATTAATCTCAGCAAAGATTTCCTCATGTTAGCCTCTGCCTCTCCCTCTCCCTCCAGTCTGTGCCAACAGAGCCACAGCTGACCCTTCTCGCTTGGATTAAGTAACTGCATCAACATTACGACAGACAAATGTTTGCAACACAGAGAAAGGCAGTGCCAGTTCTCAGGTCAGCTGAACAATGATTTTACCCTCGAGTGCAGTTTTTGTGGCACAGCTTGCAAACTTTCATCTCATCTGCGTATTTCCACACCAGCATGTCGTCCTCCCCTGGCACGCCTTGGGGACATCGAGGCACACAGAACAGGCCGTCTTGGAGGTTGGCACACTTGGTACAGTTTCCAGAACCCTGAAAGAATAATAAAAAAAAAAAAAACTCTATTTACAACTGTCTCTCTCGAGTAGTAGTAGTAAATATTATGTGAATGACTCTGTCTCATAGTAATAAAGCAAGATGCATCCATCTTCCTCATGAAGATGTAAATGTTTGGCAATAAGAAACCCACCCAGAAGTGTCAGGTGGTTTAGTTTTGGCCAGTAAATCTATGTTCACTGAGAGACTTATTGCAATCAAGTTCTGCAATGTAATACTTTCTTTCACAGTGTCTACTTGTCTTGTCAATAACAACATCCTACTGTACATTCCCAGTTAGTTACAGCTCTTTAACCAGCTCCAAAAAGGTAGCGGGGTTGCTTTCAGTCAAAGACGAGATTATGAGCATTTAAAAGTAGACTGTGGGCCAACTAGAGCAAACAGCCACACCCCTCATCCCAAACACAACATGCCTTGTGGCTACACTGCATTATGGTCTAATAAGGCTTCTGTTGATGGAGAAATGGGTAGCGCCGAAACTTCAGCAACAGATTTCATGCTGCGTAATTGTTGTAATTTGTGGTCTACAAGAACATGAAATATATTGGTGACATTTTAGATTCATAAATAATGTCCACAAAACATTTTCACAGTATTTTTTCCCCCTCATTTTGAATTGCAACAATAGTTTCGTGTGACACACATACAGGTTCATTGCAGGTTGTGGTCCCATTCATGCGTTGACACTCGGGGTGACACTCCATGCAGGTTTTATTCACGACAACCTCCCGAGGCTCTCTGCAAAAACAACAACAAAGCTGACAGACTGTCGCCGCTGGCTCGCCTCATTTCAAACAGTTAAATTGTAAGCATGTCGAGATTCAATGTTTGACAGAAATCTGCAAAGATAAACAGATGTGAGTGAAGTGCCATTTCAGCTACAGTGTTTGTCTTATATCTGCTGGAGGTTTAACTTCAAAATACCTTGGAATCGTTCTTGGTCTTTCAAGTGATTGAATAACAAATCCCCAGTGTCTAACGTCTAGTCTGGAAAGCTTGTGGTATGAAAATATACTTTAAAGGAGTTAACTGTAGAGGACACAGGTCTGATGTTCAGACTGTATGTTTGTCTTAAACAAGGAAGACTGCATTTCAAAACTTAAAAAAGGCAGAACAAGACAGATTCCTCCCTTACCCCTCCAGGATGTTGCAGGAGTCAACACAGCTCCCATCACGGCTATGGTCACGGCAGGCGAAACACATGTCCGGGCCGGGGCCCCAGCAGCTGTCTGTGGAACACTTCCTGTCACAAGTGTTGTTCCTCAGGGCTGAAAACAAACATATTATCTCAAGAAGGGATCTTTCCCGCATAATTATCCAATTTTTAGATTAGACTTAAATTATTAAATGTAGCTTGTGCATTGTGTAATCAGAAGTATACAAAAACAAAACAAGAAAAAAAAGGGTCTGGCTGAATTCTCCGTGGGAAACCAATTGTAATTTACCACATGTGGCAGCGTCAGCATTTTCCTCTATGGTAGCAGTTTGGCTTTCTGATTTGAAAAGCCCCTTCCAGTGGCTTTTGTCTGTGTAGCAGAGGTTTCGGTTCTTAAGGATGACAACGTCTCCATCGCTGATTTCTTTCAGGGAGCGAAGGCCCAGGTAGTTGATATTGAGCTGAGCCATAATAACACTGCGGCTACCCCTACCAGAGACAAAATGGTGGAACAGGAAGAGAAGAATAGAAAAAGGAAAGATTTTATGACAGCCTTGGGAAAAACAAATTCATTGCTAGTGATCGAGTGGTTGTGAATCTACGGAGGTCTTTACAAGGAACATACCGTTTTGTTCGTCCTCGAACGATCGCCAGATTCTCAAAAGGACTGAGTGAGTTCATGTTCTCTGGCCACGTTTGAATCAACAAGTATCCTGAAGTAACAAATTAGTTGTTAGTTGTGAAACTGATTAATGTGGATTTAATGTGTCATGCATTACTCATGTCTTATGCACTCTTACCAGTAATTTCCTTCACTGTCTTAAACACATCAAGCTGGGAAGGGTCCATCTTTGGTGTATTGGTATACGCATCTCTACAAATAACAAGAATGCACATGTTGTCTGCCATTAATAAAGGTGCCCGGTGATCTATTGCAGTAAATATAGTTGATTTACACAAACAGGCATGAAGGCTGTAAGGCTGTAATGCTGTTGATGTCCTTGACTCACCCATAAATCGATGGGTGGATGATAGCAATGTTACCATTGATTTTCGTGCAGTTTCTAAATGAGTCAATGTTGGTGGCATTGATAGACAAGATGTTAGTCAGGTTTCCGGCCCCAAGTCCATTACACACTGGAAACAAATCAGTAGAGAAAGTGTTTTAAAACTCTTGACCATACTCCAATTTTGGTATAAAGCTAAACCAAACTGAGCAAGGTATTTTATTGAAGGCAAACTGTGTTGCAGTACTTTAGTAGTTGTAGTATTCAGACACTTTACCTCAGTAAAAAAAGCAATACCACCTTTTAAAGTACAGTAAAAGTACTAATTATTATCAGCAAAATGTAAAGTATCAAAAGTAAAAGTATTGACTATGCCAGAAATGTTTTCCCTTAAAGTGGCATATTACTGTATTATGTATTATGAAATTGGATCATTACTAGTGGTGTATTAATATCAAAGTAGCATTATAACAATTTTACATATTATTACGTGGATTATTTCATAACAATGTATAACATTTTATGTTCATTTTAAGTGAATAATCCTATTTCCAAAAAACAGTTAACAAGTAGAATTGTAATAACGCACAGTACTTGAGTAAATGTACTCACCACTGCAAACAACACAGTATATGAGTCAGAAATAAGTCTCCAGGTTGATAGCTTAACCCCCTACCTTTTGGGCACAGTCCGTCACACTTGGCGCACTTCCTGATTCCTCCCTCGTCCACCTCGAATGTGTTAACACTGCACGTCCGCACACACGCTCCATGATCAGTTACAACATAGTTATCTGGAAAGATTTCAACATGCATTACTTCAAACCAATCTAAATGTGCCTTTAAGCATTAATAACCTGTATGAGTTATACCATAGTATGACTTTAGGTACATCATAATGATGCAGGCCTTACAGTATGCATGTAGGGTGAGTAATACTGGGACAGACTGTCTAAGTTAAACTGATGAGGAACAGTTGTTGCATTAACACGCCCTGAAACTCAATCATTTTCTTTCTGTGTTTCTGCAGTTTATAATTAAACTTAGACAAACTGTAACCACTGAATGTGTAACAGCCCTGAAGGACAACCTGGGCACTTGTTCAACATACCACAATGTGAAAAAGCTCATAATCATGCATGATGCGTTTCATTTTGGCCAATGAAGCCTAGTTTTACTCTTATTCATATCGACTGTCAGCTACAGCGCATGCCATAAATCACCCCCGTCTCCTACGTACAACTAAACGGCACCCCCAATAAGTTTATCCGTCCTTACGTGGGCAGATCTTGACACAGGTGGCCCCGTAGTTGTACTTTCCAAGTGGGTTGGGTACCAACTGGTGCAGGTTGGGGTCGTAGCGCATGAGGCCCGGGCAGGAGGCCTTACACACCCCTTCGTCCTGGAAGTCCCGACAGGCCTGCAGCACAAACAACAGTCATCCAGTACACTGGGACCATAACAGAGCCCCAATCTTATGATAACACTGCATTCCTCTACAGTCGAGGCTTAATCCCCAGAGCTGCACAGAGAGGGAGAGCAGATGCCGCTACTCGAGGCACTGCCAAATGAAAGATTGTATCAGCAGTTATAAGTGTCATTGGTACTGAAACCAATGACAATACTTCTGATTATAAAAACAGATGCTGCTGAGTGACAGATTTGTTTTCTTGGAGGCTTCTCATCCAGATTTAATGGATGCATGCAGAAGTATGAAACATTCAGAGTGTTTTGTCGTTCAAGCTTGTTTCTTCCCCAGCTCCTTTATCGTATCATTACTCTTGTCAGCTATGTGAAGGTGTCTTTCTCTCACCAGACAGTCGGTGGGCCGCGGTCCTGTGCAGCCTGCAGCACAATGCTCATTACAGCAGTCGCTGGGTGAAGGCCCTTTGCATCTCTTCGAGCACTGCTGTGCACAGTTCAGCTTTGTTACTGCAAAAAAGAACGGGACAAAGTCGGTATAATGACCTGTAGCAAGTATTCTGTTTTCTATTCATTTTTAATTTTGGAGCCATATTAAATCTGTTCAAATTATAGCAAAAACAACGGAGCATGGATGGATATACTGTACACTAACAATAATATACTGATTTAAAAATATTACCGTTGTTTTTTTTCCCAAGATAGAATTAAATAACTGAATAAGAACTCACAGTTCTGACAGTTTTGAGGACCAGGTGCCCAGCACGAACCATTGAAGCAGCTTGGGTCGCATTTTTTACCTGTAAAATCAGACCACAAGAAAAAAAAAAAAAAAAAAAAAAAAGAGGGTGAAATGTTTACTTCGCACCCTTTAAATTCTTCAACATCACATGATGAATTCCTGTGCGACCATCTGCTGTGAAATGTTTCACTTACAACGTGGATGGCTGATGGCCAATGGGAGCACCATTGTGGGTTTGCTGTCAGCGTTGACAATATCATACCACTGTATCGTTTCCACATTGCACGGCTGGTCGTTCCCAAACTTAACACCTCCTTTAAGAATTTCTGCAAAGAAAAGCGTGAATCCGATAAAAATACACAATGAATTAATTAATTACAACACATCACTGTTTTTACAGCTTTATAGAAACATATCACAGGGAACCGAAGACATGTAGAAGTGGACTGACCTGTCAGGCTGGTCAGAAGAAGCTCACTGGTGACCTGATTTGTAGCTTTCTCATAATTGGTCAGCACAGCGAGGCCAAACATTCCCTCATAGAGCGAATGACCTCGAATGATGCGCAGGTTCTGCAGAGGAATCCTGGATGCTGTGTTGAGGGCGATCAGCACATAGCCGCCCACTTCTTCAATAGACTGAGGAAGAAAAGAAAAAGAGAAAGCCTTGCTGTGAACTGAAGTAGCTAACGTGCAAAGCCAGGGGTTCTCCAAGCGAAAAATGAAGTCAAATAAGATAAGAACTGAATATGCTGGAATGGGATTTCCTGCAGTTATATACATTTATATCAAACGTATATAAGAATGTGTGCAGCCCGAGAATGCAGCCCGAGAATGAAATGAGGGGGGACAGAAAAATAGGATTTTGAAAACTGAGGAGGCCATACCGTCTCCTCAGTAGACCTGGAACTATTGCACGATATCTGCTGACTGTATGTTTTTTCTGTCTTTGTGTCTTGCATGCGAGTGAGTGAGCGTGTGTGTGGTCCCTCGTCACATCTGCCCAGTGTTCACAACCTTGTCGTTACAGCTGGTGTTCGAGCAAAGCTCCAACCGGAGCGTCATAAACACACTGAATCATCCGTCACTGTGGACTCACTTCTCCACTGATATTAATTATCTGTACTGAAAGGATAAGAAGAGCCAGCGAAGATCCAGGATAGATTATCTAGCAAACTGGATTCAGACCACCAAAGAGATGATGGAAAACTTCTCCCATCTGTAATGCCAGGGCGAGGAGAAAAATTCAATATGACAATTTATCGTCTTTCAGTGGAATCGTACCTAGATTAAATCATTTATTGTGTCATCTAAATTGATAATAACATGCACACACCAACTCAAAGTTCTCACATGAAATATTTTGAGGATATGAATATCATTTCAAGATTGTAGTTTTGTCTTTTCGTCATAATTTACACGACCACTCAGTTCTCTGCGATTAACAAACTGTTATGTTCATTTTGCACTGCTCTTAGTTAAATGAGAAAATACTCAGTACTTTTCATTTGTCAAGTATTTACTGAATTACGAGAAAACATGTATTGTGCTATATATCGTTATTGAGATAAGAAATGACCAATATCAAGATGGAAGTTTTTTGCAATATGTTTAAGCCTCCACCGCTATAACGAGTACAGTCCTTACCGAGAGGAAGGACAGGTCACGGTGATCCTCCATGTGGGTGACCTCCAGGTTCTCCAGGACCACAGTGCAGTTGCTGTAGGTCTTCACCATGTTCAGGTAGTGGTCATCTGTAGAACCCAGGAGGTTTAAACGGTTGGTGATGCCTTGGCATTCTGCAGGAAAAGACAAAAAAAAAAAAAAGTATTTGTGTCAGAAACTGTAACAGTGCTGTAACCGCCTGGCTCAATTTATGACTGTCTGTGCGTGTCTCTGTTTGTGAATTTGCTCCGCACAGTCATAACTTGGCTGACTTTCAAGTGAAAATAGCCGTTCTTGTGTTGCATCTACAATAGGAATCAAATCTCAGCGACCAAGTGAGTTCTGGCTCATGAGTCAAAGGGAGCTGGCTGTATTTATACTGGCAAAGGCCTGAATCTTTCCACTGCTATGCGGGCTAGTTAAAACAACCACTGGGACCAGCATCTCCAGGCCTATTGTGTCATTTCAGAAGAAAGGGATTTGGTGTGTCACAGATTCCATGACATTTGTGAGTATGTTTCATGGGGAAACTTAAGTTCTCTGATTCTCACAATGGATAATCGGTCTCAATAACTTCAGCCGAGTTTAGGTACATCTGATGCTGTGGCGAGTTCTTGACTAAAAAACAACTTAGGGGTTTACATCAACCGCTGATCACGCACCTTCTCGACTTTTCAGTGCCAATATCAACAAAGGCACGATAGAAAGATTCACAGGTTTACGATTGTGTGCTGATAATGCACCCTACCTGACCTTTATGCAATAAAGTAATTGGATCAGGAAGGCAGTATTACTGATAAGTGTAGGAGACACAAGAGGCTTTCTCTGTAATGGCGAATGTGTGTCTTTAGAAAGCAGGTCGCCTTCTTCTGTTCAAGAGTCCCTCGAGCCGGTCAGACAGGTTCTGACTGGCACTGAAGAGTCAGCTGTTTTTAACACTGTGCCACCCCTTCAATATACACACACACACACACACACACAAAATAACAATACGCACTGATAATATAGTCTTTATTTATGGCTTAACGTGAGCAATAGGTAGAGAAAACCAAAAGATTCTCCTTCCTGTTTATTAGAAATGATGGCGCTGCTGTAATGTCTCTTGGGTCACATTCCACAACGTGTCTGCTCTTGACTGCAACGAAAGGTAAAACATACGCTCGGAATTCTGAAACACACCTCACAACACCGTACAAACTACAGTTAAAGTTAAATGCCCTGCCACATTTCTGATTTGCCAAATTGAAGACAGAGGCATAACATCATCTTTCAGCTCAGTCGACCTAGTATCTGAAGCCAATATTTTGTACTTTTCCGCTTCCGCTGTGCATTTTGCTCACTTTGTTGATTTGAATTCACACAAATCAACAGCGATGGTGCATCGAATGAGCGAGAATTAGGCACAAACATCTGTCTCCCGCCCGCCTTCTTCCCCCCTCATTAGTTTGTCCCTGTGGGATCTCCCTGACATGAACCTTTCAGTCCAGCAGCCTAACGCCGTGGCAACAGAGGCAGACTAGCAATATCAAGCTGACCATTTTAATTAGGGAAGCCATATGAGATGTAATTAGCCCCCTAATTATTACGCAGACAGGGACACCAAACTGTAATAAACAAAAAGGTTGGTTGCAGCTGTGAATATTAATCAACCTGATTTGGACATACTGACTGACAGTTTGCTGATAGAGATGCTGATAATGGTTAATAAAGAGCGTGTTGGATTGGCATATATAGTACATCTGCCAGCATGCTTCCTGTCTGACTGTTTTGTTCATGTAATATGTATAATGAACAGTAAAGGCGACTTAAGGTTCAACAAACTTCCTCCACCAGAGGTTCACACAAGGAAGAGACGAAAAAAAAGTTGATTGCTCAAGCAAGCAGCAGAACAGCCACAGCAAACATTCTCCTCTGTCCACTTCTCGACATCATAACTCGGTTGCAGGTGGTATATGACCTGATATTACACGACCATAAACTGACTTCCTCATCAGGCTGCAACTCATGAGAAAGAACCCAGGTCAGGCTGTGGCTACATAGTTATAACTAAAAGATGGCCTCATAGTTTTACCGAGACTCATTTCCTTCGAACAACACAGCCTTGTGTAAATCGACTCCTCTATATCTGAGTTAGATGTGTCATGAAAGGTTGCACAACTTGCAACCACCTGTCTGCATAGACAGACTACAGCTTGTGTGTAAAATCATATGCAGATTGGATATTAAGGGACCCTGTTTTTCCTTAACATCTGACTCAATCTTGACTCATGAAATTCATTAAAAACACAGCTCACTGTCTGCAATCTGATTCTATGCAAGGGTGGGGCCTGCAGTAACGTAACTGATACTGTGACAAAGACTAATTAGAGGTTGCTTCACTTCCTCCAGCTGTATTGTCGTCACAAAATGTCCAGGAGTGGCAGGTCTGGTATATCTCTGCTTTAGTACAGTATGCATGTGTGGGTGTGTGTGTACAGGCATGTGTGTGCAACACCGCGAGGAGTACATACTATTCCCTGGCCTGCGCCGATCAGCACCCAGTCAGAGCTAGACAAAAGACTCCATAAACCCGACCATTAGTCATCTAAGCTTGTTGAAATGTGCGGTCGCATATCACTCGTTAGATGTTTACTCGGGGACTAGCGTTGGAAGTCAATGGTGTGTGGGTAGATATTCGTTTCTTGAGGCTATTGGATCTGCTAGACTACAGAAAAAGAGTGGCTAAGCTAATTATGCGAGATAATTAGCTCATTGTTCAGGTCCACCCTCAGCACACACTCCTCACACCAGACGATTGACAATGCACAAGCTATACTGTTGCAGAGAATCCAGGTCAAATCTGTGTTTCAACCACCTGTGTTCCTCTCCAAGAGCTGGACATTGAGGAATAATCACTCAAATATTTCATATAATACTTGAAGGTTTGTTCGTTTGCATGTAAAGCAAAAAATCGCGGGGTAACCTTAGCTACAATATACTGTGAGGTTATACTGAATCTCTTGTGACAAATTTTGAACCTAAAAAAATAGTTCAACATCTCGAGATAAATACTGATTTACTTTCTGGACGAGCTGTAGTTGGGAAGATTGATGCCACTTTCATGTCTGTATGTGAAATGTGAAGCTACTGCAAGCAGCCAGTTAGCTTACCATAAAGACAGGCAGTAAGGAGAAACAGCTAGCCTGCCTCCGTGTCGTTTAAAACCCCCATAAAACGGTTAATGTTTTTTTGTGCAGTATTAAACATACCAGACGTAAAGTGTAAATCAGTGAGCCGGGCTAGCTGTTTCCCTCTGTATCCAGTCTTTATGCTAAGCTAACTGGCTGCTGGTTGTAGCTCTAACCAACAGACATGAGAATGTCCAACTTTTCCCTTTAACAGCTTCCCAAAGGCAGCATTTACTGAGGGCTCACTGGATTGCACATGTGATGCAGGTGTTTGTGTTATTGTGTCCATTTCCTTTATTATGTCAGCAGCGTTCGCACCAAACTTCAAGAGTAAACCTTTTCTCTCAACTTTGAAGCTGAAAAATTTGACAGAGACGAGGAGGAACGAGTGAAGCAGGGTATAAAACCAAAGTCACGCAGACAAAAGTCACAGTAAATATTTGAGACACCTTAACCAAACATGGTAAGATCAAATGGGAAATGTTAAGTACCAAAACCAACCAAAGGAAAAAGAGTCTGGCGTAAATTCACATTCTGAGGTCTCATTTATGTTTGGACCAAACTTTGTATTTTGATGGCCATGAGAGGAAATGCTAAATCTTCACAAACGAAAAACTAAACTTTCTGCAGTAAAAACCCTTCTCTAACCCATCCAATGGTTTCCTTTGGTACACTGAGCCATCTACGATACATTTAAATCATCATGCTTTTTCTACAGACAACAGAAATGGCCCTGCCGCGCTCTCTTCCTCTCATTCACTACCTGCAATTCAATTACGCTGTGTCCAGAGTCTGATAATGAAATCATCTGAAAACTTATACATAATTAAAGGGACGTAACAATGCTAACTGACATGACATGTTTATTTCCCTCTCCAAGTCAACAGCATTACGGCAAAGTATCTTATGTAACTCAATCTGCAGTGTCCCTCCGCTGATAACAAATCCATGCCATGATTGATTCCCTTATTTAGAGATAAGTTATGGTTAACCCCCTCATATGTCTCTACACGTATCGTAAGAGGATGTCGATAAGATGTGGAAGAAAAAAAAACACATGCTCTGCTTTTATTGACCTCCGTTTAAAGTCGAGGTCCACTTGGGGTTGCGTCAACTCATATTTTCATAAATCTCTCAAAAGGCCCCCATCAGTGAATGAAAGGTAAAAAAGAAAACACTTCTGTCCTCCTTTGCATTCAGCTCATACTTCCTCCACTACATTTTCTGGCTAAGATTCAAGAGGAGATGAGGGATCAAATGTCATAGAATGGGAAAACCAGCAGCACAAGTAGTCATATTTGCATTCTTTAAGAGTGTGCACTGTATTTTTATAAACATACTTTGAAGTTTTACATAAAAAAAGCTGATATCCTGCTCTCTGTACAGGCGGAAACACAATCTTCCTTTGCGTGGGAGATGCATCAATCCCTTAGAGAAAACATCTCGGGGGCTCAGAATAAGACAAAAAGGGGCCAGTAAGGACGAGAGGATACCCCCCCACTTTCCCTCCCTATCCCCTGTGAATGCAGCAACACAAGCCCCTTTGACATCACAGGAAGTTGATCTTTGCACAGGGTCAGATCCAGACGGCTACCCCGCAATGCTGAACCAGATGGTAGCTGATTGTCGTCTAAATCTAACTTCATGTACTACGGGAGAAAGAGAACTGATGGAAAGGAAGTGAGAGAGGGGGAAAAAAAAGAAACTGAGGGAAAAAGGAGAGTCAGGAGTGGTTTGTGGTTTAGCTAAACTAGATGTAGATGTGGGACCTAGCGGCCGGCTGTGGGTCGAAATGTGGAAAGGGGGTGTTAGAGCCTCACACTTGATGTATGAACGTGGCTGACCTTTTTCCCTGGCGGCTCACAAAGGGGACAGAACACTGGAGCGGCCCAGCTTTAGAACACAAGCAGATGAAGCATCCCAACGATTACGTCACATGTCCTCTAAACAGTTTAACCCCTGTGACT